TATAGATTTAGTTTACCTCAGTCCATAATAATGGATAATGGCAAATAATTCAAAAATTCGAGGTTTAAAAAATGGTGTTCAAACTTTCACATTGACCTAAGATTCATATCGGTTGCTCACCCTCAATCCAATGAACAGGCTGAAATGATAAACAAGATAATATTAGAAGCTCTAAAAAAGAGACTAGATGAAACGAAAGAAAAGTGGGTCAATAAACTACCAAGGGTATTATGGGCTTTGAAGATTACCACTAAAGTACCAACAGGTAAAATCCTATTCCACTTGGCACTTGAAATAAAGGTTGTGGTATTTGTTGAGATCAACTTTTTTGAGTTTAAGAGTTGAATTAAGGTCAAAAGAAAGAAATGAGAAGGCTCTAAAAGTCAAACTAGACCTAATCAAAGAACATAAAAATATAGCCCTAACACGGATAGCAGCTTATCAATAGAGGGTGTCTAGCCATTATAACAAAAGGGTTCGACGTAAGAATATCGAGAAAAGTGACTTAGTGCTTAAAAAAGTTAAAGCTTCAAAAGTAGATAATTAAGGTGGCAAAATAGACCTAACTTGGGAAGGACTATATGTAATCAAAAAAATCATCCATGAAGTGACCTACAAGCTGTAAGATATGAATGGTAACATCATCCTAAGGATGTAAAATGCAAATAACTTAAAAGTTTATTACCAATAGCTCAAACTAAATCGAGCTCACACTTTGTACTTGAATATAGAAATCAAATTACGCTCTTTTGATGACGCTTACACTTACTCAGAGCTTACACTTACTCAGGGCTCACACCCAATCGATCTAACAAAATTTGACTTAAAACTTGGATGGATTATCAAGTTAATTTAATTTGAGATATTCGTGAGTGACTAGGTAAATCTTTAGCTCACTTAACTAGGCTTGATTAAATCAATTTCAATAAAATTAAACACTAGTTTATTTTTTTTTAATAACCTAAAGTAAATCTACAGAACTCGTGTTACCATGATTAACCAAGTTTAAACTTATGCGAATAAAGAAAAAATAATAATAAAATCGAATCAAAACTTGAACAAAATGAACAAAATATACATTTTCTATTGGTGTGATAGGTATAAAAATTGTCAACAAAAGATTTTTTTTTAAGGTCACAATAAAAACTGACCTCATATATCAGCATTTTTAAACAAAACATTTTTAAAAAGCTAAAAGGAAAAAATTATGCATCAATAACATCAGCAGCAGTAATAGTAGCAGTAACACCCTCATCAATAGGAGTAGTAGTAATGACCTCAGCCTCCCTAACTTTGTCCACTTTATGCTCGATTCCTAGAGCTACCTTGAGTTCAACATCCATCGCCCCATCATCATCTTTTTCCTCTTTCTTTTTCTTAAGTTAACTTGGAAGAGGCTTTGATTTGATATTATTGATATCAATATCAGAGAGATTAAGGTTGCGGTCTGTAAATTTGAATTGCACCTCATCTTTGGCCAAATTGAAGGCATTTAGCACATTGTCCCTGAAAAACTCCACTTGAAGTTAAAAGAATTAGTTGAAAGCCTTAAAGTCCTTAATAGTTTTTTCTTTTCCCTTTCCCTAGCCTCCAACTCAAACCTTAACCTTGTTATCTCGATTTGAATATCATTGAACTTAAGCTTGGCCTGCTCCTTTATAGAATCAACCAAGGCTTTCTCAATTAGGATGGCCTCTAACTTCGTTGTTAGCTCATCATTCCTATTCCTCTGCTTAGCTTCATTCTTATGGGATGCACTAAGGTAGGACCTGACATTACTTAAAGTGTTCAAGCTTTTCTTATGCTTTTCGCTCAGGGTAGCCATATCCTTTTCAGTTTTAAGCAAATAAGCCATAGCAAGGTAGACGGGGTGAAAGGCCTAAGTGGTGTTGTCCAAAAGGTAAGGTGGAAGTTTCTGTTATACTACATTAGATGAATTTAGACTTAAGTAAAAACAAAAATAAAAAACAACGAAAAAGCTGATGCGAAGTCAAATAGTGCTCACCAAAGCGAAAAACTGTGACCTTATAGAACCTCTTTGCCATGTCGAGGTCCTTAATGGGGTCATCGACAAGAGTATTCTCCAGCCTTGTACAAATTCTCTCCGAGTTAGGTTTTAAGACCCTTTTCTTGAGATTTTCTAATATAGAAAAAAAGACCTTAACCTTCGATTTCTTAGCGGAAGAAAATGTTACAAAGGAAAGCTCTCAATGAGTTGTGGACTTCATCTTCCAGATGGTGAGGGAGTGTTGGGTCGAAATGCCCAATATTTTGCCCACCGTAGGGTTAATGACCTTGTCCCTTCCATAAAATGGGGCTCTGAGTTGAATCTTCTTACTTTTGGGCCTAGAGGTATGCTAAAATAGGAAGAAATTGAAGATTTTGTTAATGGACATCTTTGCAAAATCGAGCTAACAGTTAGATAAAAATCAAGTTAAAATAAAACCCTACAAGGTTACCTCACACCTATCTTAGTACTTTATCTCATTTATTACTTTAAGAAAGGTCAACCTGTAGGCATCAATGACCTGCTCCCCTTACGAGTGTAGTCTATTATTTTATCCCCTCAGTGTAACCATCTTTATTTATTTTTTGCTTTTAAAACCTAAGAAAGAGCAGCTTTTAATTTTTCATAAAGCTTGGAAAATAAGCAAATAATTTTTTATTAGGTCAAGTTGTTATATAATACCACATTCTATCACTAGGGTACTTTTTAATAGAAAAAAATTTCCTAAATAGAGGGAGAGCAGGAAGAATATCTAGATGTTGACAAAGAATAATAAAGTCTATTATGTACCGTATAGAATTGGAGTGAGCTGAATGATAGTTAAATTGTAAGAATTAAAAATTAAAATAAATAAAGAATGATGAGAAAACCTCAAACTAGCTATGAATGAATCTTAACTTATATAAAGCCAATGTGGCTATAATTTATCGATGACTCGATCTAAGGAGTTTAGTATTAATATGCTATGCCATTCTCTAGGAAAAAAAAAGTCGTCACTAGAGTGTGAACTTGATGAGCTAAACACATGTTAAAATATTTTTCAAGATTAGCCATGCCTTTTAGTTCTCTTATCCTACGCTGTAGGACACCCCTCATCGCTATTACTTTCCCTAGCTGGGTATTCATTTTCTCTTGTTCCTCTTTAAACCCTTCTCATCGTTAGAATCTTCCCCAAAAGGCTTTAACTCCCTTAGTAGTAGTAAGATCCCTAGATTGAACTGTTGTTGAAAGTAACATGACCTTGGGGAAAAAGGTGAGGTAAAGACCTCTTAGGAGAATAAGTAATCTTAACGAGTGTTGACTGAAGAGGAATGAAAGTGACAACGAGAGCATCTATTGGTGGAAAAGCAAAAGTAAAAGAAAACTAATGAGACTGGACCCCAAAAGAAAAAATAGCTGAAAATGAAGAAAGGTCGATAATAGAAGATGGACCAACCTGAAAGATGAAAAAATGAGATGGATTTTATAACTTAAAATATATTTGAGCATATAATTTTTTTATGCTCAGGACCCATTCTCTCTTACCTAAGCATTGTCATCGTTTTATTGTTGCCCTTATTCTTACATCGAGTTGAACTAAAAGGCCATCTTTTGACAATCACGACCTTCAATGACTGGCAAAATTAGATTGTCGTCGTCCTGCCCAAGCTGACCCCTTAGGTTCTGCCTAAAACTCCTAGTTTCTAAAAATTAAAGCTAGAAGACATAATTAAAAGTATGTACCGAAGAAAGCAAAGAAAATGGGCAATTAAAAGAACAATTTTAAGGCTAAAAAGCTTTTGAGGTAAAAAATTCATATAAGACAAAGAGCAAAGAAAGCATAAAGGTAAAAAATGAAAGCCCTAAAGGCCTTTTATATAGTCGCGCCTTAAATAAAATGAATGGTATAGACCATGCCACATGTTAGAGTATAGATGGGAAGAAGTCTTTTCGTCTTCCCTTTTTAGATTTTATCACTCAGACTACCATTTCTCCTCATTTATTGCCATCAAACCAACCAAATCGAATGAACTTCAAGTCAGATCGACCAAACTGGATGGCTTTCCAGACAAATCGATTGCTTGATTCGTCGTCAGAGTTCAAAACGAAAATTCGAATCCAAATTCTTGAAATAAAACATAATTCCCACGTCGATTAGATGAACTTTCACACTAATTTTAGATCATCTCGAACAATGGACCTCGATGATCTTCAAGCTGGCTATGCACTTAATTCAAGATATATGCACGAAATCATCCCATTAGGTCAAACCATGACTTAAGACTAATTATCTTCCAATATCGACCTTATTGTAATGTCAGCTACAAGGAACCAAATTTCACGTCGTCCTTTTTACTTGTCTAGCTAGTACGAAAATGTGTCAATTGCATACCCAGCAGTTTGATATTTAGACTGCTAGATGGGGAGATAAAATGTTAGGGGCATTTGGTGGTTAAAAAGGCATAATAGTTTTTTTTTTTTTTCAGTAGAAGCCTTTAGACAGCAAGACATAATTTCGATATTTGTGCTGACCTACACACTCATTACTATATCAACTCGATCACGTTTTTATTTTCTCTTGATGACTCTCTATCTTTTATCTACAAATATAAATATTCAAATATTATTAAAGTAAGTTCAATATACTTCTAATTTCTCTTACTATTTTTTTTTTACATTACTTATTTTGATTTCTATGTTGAGTGTAAATGTAAAAAATACTTTTTACTTTTACATTTAACTCCTAACTAGTTTTCTTTTCCACCTTTACTAAAACACCCTTGGATCGAAACTCAATACAAATAACAATCAAGTTCATGAAGTACACATAGGGCCTGGCATTGTGAAGGAGAGCCACGGTTAAATAAGCGGAGGCAGTGGCCATGGACAAGCATATAAGAGAGAATTTTTGTCCAATTTCTTGGCTTAATCTTCAACTAAGGTTACGGTTCTAGCACGTGGAAGCAACGGCTTTGGAAGACAGTAAACAAACGGCGTCGTACGAGAATGGTCAATGACGAGGGGCATAGGCGTCGTTACGTATGAAATGGGATGTCATTTTGGTAAAATTAGACAACATCGGATATCCAGTTGTCATTCGATGGATCGCTACGGAGATCAGCTCGTCACGAGATTCTGGTTTCTCTGCCCCCTTTCATACGGTCACGATTCTCCATAAGAAAAAAAAAAAAAAAAGCCCATAACTCGATGATTCTCTTTCTTTCTCTCCCTAATACCGACTAACCTCTGTCCCCCCACTTCCCCTCCCACTCCCACTCTCCCTTCTCTTTCTTTTTCTTTCGCCACTGAGTTCGTTGTAACAGCTCAACCCGGTTCTTCAAATCGAATCTCTCTCTCTCTCTCTCTCTCTCTCTCTCTCTCTCTTTTCGATTCCATGGGAAAGAATCTACAACGTCATCTCTGGAACCTCTATCAGCAGTCGTTTATTCTGTAGAAAAAATCACGAATAATTTTTTTTCTCTGTTGACCTTTTCTTTATTTGCAGTGAATCAAATGGCTCCCTGCCGTATGATTCTGCTATTTTTTACTCTTTCCTTTATCGTTCCTTCACTTGACGCCAGTGAAGGTGATGTTGATCCGATTTACAAGTAAGTTCACTCGATTTCCTTCTCTCGATTCGCTTTATATATATTTTTTTGTTTAATTCTATTCGCAAGAAAATTTGGAGCTTCAATTAGAAAAAGTTTTGTTCTTTACTTCTGTTTTTGAAAATGTTTGTACTGTTTGTTGAAAGAGCTACCTTTTTGTTTTAATTTCTTCTTTTTGAAGGAAAAATGGACGAAAAGTTATTGGTGAATTTACTTTGAGATGCAAAATCTATGTTTTAGGCTGTTTAAATTCAATTCTACTTTGATTGAATTTTGTAAGTGGTGGCACTTAAAATAAGAAATTGTTAAAAAAGAAGCAATAATTACAGTTTTTATGGTGTTTGAAATTGCTGTATTTAGAATATTTCTCTTTTGGGTTATTTTGATGACCTTATCCCTAAATTGACTGTGATTCTCATGAGGTTGTTACGGCCATTCTTATGCGGTTTGTTCATTTTTTAGGGCTTGTTTGGAGGAGTGTGAGAAAAGTGGGTGCGTGGGGGAAAGGTGCTTTCAACACTGTAAATTCTCATCTGATGGAAAACCAATTGATGGGCCATGGTATTTACAAGAGCCCCTTTATCAGAAATGGAAGCAGTGGGACTGTCGTTCTGATTGTCGGTACCACTGTATGATTGCTAGAGAGGAACAGAGAGAGAAACTTGGTGACAAACCGGTCAAATATCATGGAAAATGGCCTTTCCGACGTGTCTATGGGATTCAGGTTCTTAGTATATCACCTTTGTATCGTTGTTATGTTGTTTTTTGGATTGTTGTTCTTTTTAGTGTCTTAGTGATGGTTTATTCGGGTGTTTTCAGGAACCCGTTGCTGTAGCTTTCTCCGCACTAAGCCTTGCAATACAGTTTCATGGTTGGCTTTCCTTTTTTATCCTTCTGAATTATAAGTTGCCTTTGAGGCCTGATAAAAGGACTTATTATGAATATACTGGCTTGTGGCACATCTATGCCATCCTGGCAATGAACTTTTGGTTCTGGAGTGCTGTTTTTCACAGTCGGTAAGCAGTACTCTTTATGTTCCTTTGGACCAGTAATCTTTAAGCGACTATTTGGTTGTAGTACTAGGGTAACTTTAAAAGAGGGTTCAATGGTCCTTCCTGATGTCACAACTTAAAGAATGTTGACAATGGATAAATTTCACCTAATACATTAGGAGAAATTTTCTTGAACCAGAGCCTGGGCCAGGTTCTTAGTCATGTAAGCCTCTTTAGACGCCTTCGTGAAATAATTTGAGTGAAAAGGTTTTGACCATGTGTTCACCACAGCATTTATAGCGCAACTCACTGTCAACAATGATTTCCGATGTCCATAAGGGAGATGAGTCGGTCATAATTTAAGAAAGGTTGAATAATCAATATTTCTCTGAAAACAGAATAAGATATAATTAGATAGTTGGCCTTTGAGATAACTATTCTTATAATCATTGTATAATATTGTTGATTTTTTGCTTTATCGTTCTCTAACTTAATTAACTGTAGAGATGTTGAGTTGACAGAGAAGCTAGATTATTCATCTGCTGTTGCATTAGTTGGGTTCAGTCTTATTCTAGCAATACTACGGGCGTTTGATGTGAGAGATGAAGCTTCAAGAGTGATGGTTGCTGCTCCGCTAATTGCATTTGTGACAACACACATCTTGTATCTGAACTTTTACAAACTTGATTACGGTAATTCTTTGTTTATTAACCTCTATCCACTGAAAAGGATTATCAACATTCAATTAGCCTCTAGTCTTGGGCCTTGCATACAATAAAATTGTGGAAGCACTGATTCAGTTTGATTTTTTTATTTCAAAAAGTGCTGACTAAATTTAAAATAGCGCTGCCTAATAACTATTTGGATCCACCTGAACTTTCTTTCTATTGTATCTTTTTGAATTGCCCATCTCTTTGCTGAGATATTCTTTCATCATAAATACTCTTCTAGCCAATCATTTTATCTTTTTTGTCATAACTATATTTATTTATTTTTTAAATTAAAGAGTACTATTGAATATTGATTATCACTTAACAATCGGTTCATTTTGGCATCCTTTCTGACAAGTCAGATCTGTTTGCAGGTCTAAATATGAAAGTTTGTATGGCCATGGGTGTAGCTCAACTTCTCATTTGGGGAGTTTGGGCTGGTGTAACTAGCCATCCATCGCGCTGGAAGGTTTGGTTGTTCGTAGTGGGAGGAACCCTCGCTGTGCTCTTGGAAATATACGACTTCCCACCTTATAGGGGGTTTGTGGATGCTCATGCTCTCTGGCATGGTACTAGTATCCCTCTTACATACATTTGCTGGAGCTTTGTCAGGGATGATGCGGAGTTGAGGACTTCAACACTCCTTAAGAAAATAAAGTGATATTTCTTCTTTGGACGCATGCACTAACCAAATGGTGCAACCTATCAAGTGACCAAACTCACCCTTGATCAAGCCATCCTGTGAATGAAACATTAATGGCTCCTCGTGTCTATGCGTTTTTGTAGAATGCTTAACATGGCCAGCCTCTTTCGCATTTTGTTTGCTGACGGTTGAAATTTCTTCGCAATGCAAGGATATGCACTGTAATTCGAAGTCCAATTTGTTAGACTCTCTGTCTTTGTTTTTTCTCGCGATGATCGGTATATTCATAAAGGCAATCCAATTTCATTGTAAATTTTTTGTGTTATATCTTTCAACCAGCATGTTTCACTTGCATTGTTTGATTAGTCAGTCTTCTGTAGGAACGATGGCATATGTAAGCATTCTTATCATCTTTACATTGAATTTATTTTGGCCGAGTTTTTTCAATGAATTTCCATGAAGCCAAGGAACGGTGGCATATGTAAGCATTCTTATCATCTTTACATTGAATTTAGTTTGTCCGAGTTTTTTCAATGAATTTCCCTGAAGCCAACTCAAAGTCTTAAGCTTTACGTTTCAGAAACATAGGAGATAAGGCCCATATGAATTAAACCTTGTTATTATTTGGGCCAAGCTGACAACGGGATGCTTCTATCAAAAGTTGGCTAAGCCTCGGGCTAACAGCCTGCCTAACACACACGGCAGGATCGATTCTTCACTGGTATCACATCACATCACATGACATAGCACAAAGGCTAAGCAAATCCTGGATGCATTGGGGGCAATTTTTAAACTGAACATCCCCTGTACTTCCCTCTTATTTCGGCACAAAGCTTTGGGTAACCGTTGTAGAAGCGCGTTCTCAATCGAGTAATATTTCTAAATTATTAACAAATTTTTTTTCTTATGAATTCGCTGACCCCACATTATCCACATTTGAGGAGAATTCATAAGCCTTAGTTCATACTGATGTCAGCAGCAAAATCCATATCATCTAATTTAAAAAACATCTTTTGAAGTTAATTTTAAAAAAGGCACATCCCAAATGTCGGATAGTCTAATTCACTCACAATAATTCCAATAATTTGTCGTTGAATTCAATTAATTATACGTAAAAACCATTGTCAATGAAAATTCTTTCAAATTAGTGCCAGCTAGTTACAAGTTAAACCGCTTGTTTGTGCTTTTTCTTGCGATTTTTTTCAATAAACAAAATCAAAGTTTGATAAAATTAGTTTGTGTTGATTCAAAAAATTTAATATTTAAATTTTAATATCTATAATTATTTTTCATATTAACAGATTAAGTCTTCTTTGTAAAAAACAAAAATACTAATTCTACTAGAACGATGCTTCCTTAAATTGCGGCTTTTGATTAGAATATATATATATATTTTCAAAAATTTGCTCATGCATTGATATTTTTTTAATTTCATGACAAATTTTGTCCAACAATTATTTATTTTGATTTTTTTATGTAAAAACGTTGACTCTCATCTGTGAATCTATTATTTTTCCCCCTAATATTATCCGTACTTATAAAAATATTAAAGTACAGACACAAAAGAAAAAGCCACGCTACGTCGATATAGTACAGTAATAATGTGTCCCAACTGTATATACTTGAATCGCCTAAAATTGATCTAATTTAAATTGAATGACTCCAGAGAGGTACATAATCATCGGCAGCATCAAGTTGATGTTCATCCCCGTCGTACCCACAACAAGGAGGAGACATCATCATACCTGCCGCCATGTTTGCGAAAAACTTTTGTGTCCCAAACACCGCCTCCTCGTCCAAATAAAACCCATTTTCAGACACTTTCATTTTCTCCACCTCCGTCTCTTCACCTCTCTTTGCATCATCTCCACAGTTCCCATCCGAATGCTCAGCCGGTCGAAAAGCCTCCGCCGCCTCTGCCGCCACCTTCTGAATGTCCTTTGGATCACTAGAAGTGGGTACCGGAAGCCTCCAAGCAGAATCCGCGAAGTTCAGACATGCTAACCTTCCTCTCAGTGCTATCGCCGCCACGTCATGTGCACGAGCCGCCATCTCCGCGGTTGGAAAAGTCCCCAGCCAAATCCTGGACCTCTTATTAGGCTCCCTCACTTCACAAACCCACTTCCCGGAGTTCCTCCGACGGACTCCACGGAACACCGGGTGCCGAGTCTCCCGGAATTTCGTCCTCCCCGCTGGCTTCTTCGGATAACTCGAAGCTAACATCACATCTTCATCTGAAAAATTTTTTGGACGACAAGTGCCACTTCCACTATCCGACGGAGGTGACGAAGCCGATCCAGAATCGACTGTCTTATAAAGTTGACAAAAAAAATCCATTTCAAAAAAGAACGAATAAAACAGGAAATTCAAAGAAGTTGAACTTTCAGTTAAACAGACGTTGGACTTTGAGTAATTGACTGAGAAGTTTAATAACTGTCAACTTTCAGTTGAGTAAGCTCACAAAAGCCTTGGAAGTAAAAGAAAAAAAATGATGAGCTTTTGCCACTAGTAAATGTGAATAAGAAGTGTGAAGTGAAATGGCGTTATATAAATATATATATATATATATATCTGAAGTTTTGCAGATCGTTTTAAAAGTGAGGATTTTTACAGATTAAAAAAGGGGCGAACGCGGGATTGAAGAGGATCCAGGCTGTGGCTTTGTGGGATAAGGGGTTGGCATCCGCGCTTTCTACAGAGATTTGGGAATAAGACGGATTCTTAGAGCAAGACTGGGCTCCTCAGCCAGCTGCCCCTGTTTTCAGACTAGTTGTGGATCAACCAGGATAACGCACGTGTCTGTTTGACATGTTTTTCTTTTTCGGATTTGGTATTTAACAATTTGACTGCTAAAGTTTTAGATTTTGTTTTTTACGTTGGATAGAATGCAATTGTGGCTGTCGGAGTCAAAAGGGTCAGCTTCAGCATTATCTATTGCATTATGAGGAGACAATTTACTCGCACGATTAACTAGACAAAATTTAGATTAAGATATTTAATTTAATTTTTTAAATTTAACACAAAATTTAAACTTATAAATGGATAGAATTTAATATATAAAATTTAAACTTATCAATATTTATTCAATAATAAAATTGTTAATTTTTTATTTATTGATTTTTTCATAGAGTTGTAGATATGTATTATTTAAAATCTTGTTATATTATACTCTTTTCATTTAGTTTTTATTCATTTTTTATGTTTTAAATTTTAAATTTTAATCTAAGATCTAAAACTTTTTGTTTTATGTTTTAAATTTTTTCGTAATTTTTGTTTTTACAAGTAAAAATTATAAAAAAAATAATTTATAAAAAGTTTTAAATTAAACAAAATACGTTAAAATAAATTTTTTAAAATTCTATAAAAAAATATAAAATAAGATAGATAAATTATAATTAATTTCATAATTAATATTTATTCTTTTACAAATATGATTCGTAATTAACAACGAACTAAAACAAAATTTGTAATCAACATGTATTTCATATATACACATATCTAAAAAGGTACATATGCATGTAGTTAATGTTAAGCACATGGTCTCATTGCTAAAGCTTCTTGAACAATTAGACAAATTTTATTACTAAATTTGGTTCAAATCATAACTTGAAGTGTATAATATGTTGTTGGCCTTGAATTGATTAAGAGTTTTGATTTAACAAAATAAAAAATTTGTCAAACTTGTTTCGATTTTGTCTAAGCTTAAATTGAATATTTTTTTCACCCTTTTATCTTGTCAAAATTCATTTGAGAATCAAAACAACTCAAATTCTCGAAACAAAACATGATTTATGCAAATTTGATAGAAGGGATCGATCCCCTAGCAAAAGGGATCGATCCTGTTTTCAACCAGAATCTAAAGTTCTCAAGATTTGATAAAAATCGATCGATCCCCTTTCTGTAGGGATCGATTGGTTGGGGTTTCAAGCTGAACGGATCGATCCCCTCATTCAAGGGATCATCACTTTTTCATACAAAATGTTTGTATCGTGTAATTTTTCAGAAAATGAATCAATCCCATCACATAGAGGATTGATCACCTAAGGTAAGGGATCGATACCCTCTTAAAGAGATTGATCGATTGCTCAGATAGAATGTTTCCCAAGTTCGAAAACCTAGAAAAAAGATCGATCCCCTCTTAAAAGGGATCGATCGGTTGCTCAGACAGAATGTTTTCGAGTTTGAAAACCCAAAAAAAAGGATCGATCCCCTCTTAAAGGGATTGATCGGGTAAGGCAAATCAGGCACAAAATCGAGCCTTCTTCAACATTAACCAATCGATCCCCTATAATAAGGGATCGATCCCTTGAAGGCTAACAACTCTCAAAGGCTATTTTTTTGTCTGAATTTTTACAGGTTTGAAGCATTAAATGCAATCCAATGGGTCTCAACTGCTTCCTAACATAAATAAAGCATTCCACTGCAAACAAAAAAAAAAATGAAAGCCAAGGAAAATTATTGCCATTCACCTACCAATCTGCTCAAGCATTCAAAGCTGTTCCAAGTTAGAAAAGTGCAAAATTCATATAATTTCTTTCTCTATTTTGTTGTCTATACCACTGTGTACTTCAAATTAGCAAACATCCAACCTTTGAGAGGTTCTTAGAGTTTGTAAAACACTTCATATTTCTATATTGTAAGTTTGTAAGCTTAAGGAAAATGATAACCCTTAAGTGTATAGTGTGTTGAGTTTGTAAAGCTTAGAGAAGCTTGGTTGTAATCTTTAACACTTATTATGGATTGAACTTCTTGGCAAGAGAGGCTAAGGGATAAGACGTAGGTGCTTAAGAAAATGACCGAATCTCTATAAATCTCGGTGTTATATTCTCTATCCCTATTTCTCATTTACTTTCAATTATTATATTTAATTGTTTAGTAAAATTTATGCTTATTGAATATTGTACTTCAAAAATTTATTAAAATCCAATTCACCCTCCCTCTTACTTTATTTCAAATCTTTGAGCTAACAATTGGTATCAAAGATAGTACTCTTTTTTTGTAGGTTTAACAGCCCAAGAGTGATCCTGAAAATGGCTCAAAAAAATATGGTAATCAATGTGAAAGAACTATCTTCAAGCTATAACAACTATACTGACCAACAAGAGGTGTGTCTTACGACAAATGAAATAGTTGCAACATCTCTTGAAAGTGAAGGGCATTCAATTGTTAGACTTTCTCTTTTTGCTGGTGACAACTACTCCTATTGGAAGACTAGGATGAGGTTGTTCATTCAAGCTAATGATTATGAAGTCTGGAGGGTTATTGTAAATGTCCTCAAATTCCAATAAAGATGGTGGATGGTAAGGAAATGATCAAGCTAGAGAGTGAATGGGATGTCAATGACATGAAGATGGCTCAACTCAATGTCAAAACAATGCATACACTATTTTATGCATTGAGGCCAAGTGAGTACAATAGATTTTTTTATGCAAAAATGTAAAAAAAATTTAGGATAAGCTAGCTATTACTCATAAAGGTACTAACCAAGTGAAAGAGATAAAAATTGACATGCTCACTCACGATTACAAGCTATTCAAGATAAAATTAGATGAAACCATTAGTGAGATGTCAAATCATTTCACCGACATCATTAATGGTTTAAAGGCTTTTGAAAAGACTTACTCAAATGTGAAAATGGTGAAAAAAATTTTTAACAGTCTATCAAAGAGCTAAAAAGCCAAAGTGCCAGCTATTGAAGAGTCTAAAGACCTTCACACACTCTCTTTGGATGAACTAATAGGCTTTCTCCTTACCTATGAAATGAAGATCAAAAGGGGATAAGAACCAATCAAGAAAGGTGGCATTACTTTTAAATCTACCTTTCAAGAAGATGAAAAAAAATTTAGACAAAAGAAAGATTATGAAGATGAAGAGATGGCCATGTTTGTAAAAAGATTCAAGAAGTTCATGAGAATGAACAAGTTTTTCAATAGAAAAAGATCACAAAAGGAGATGACTAAAGGGGAATCAAGTAGAAGAGAAATGGACCAAATTATTTGTTATGAATACAACAAACCAGATCACATTAAACTTGATTATCTTTTGTGAAAAAGGTAAAACATGACAAAGCCAAAAAAAAAAGCTATGGTAGCAACATGGAGTGATAGTGACTTCTCTGATGATGAATCAAATAAATAAAAAATAGTCAATCTATATCTCATGGCTCTTGATGAGTCCAAGGTAACCTCTAGTTCATGTGATTTAAATTCATACACATTTGATGACTGCAAGATGCCTATAATGAGTTAGCTATAGAATTTGAGAACATTAGCATGAAATATAAAAAAATAGTCTCTAAATTGAAATTAGAAAATGAATCATTGACTAAAGCAAAAGAAGACTTAGAAAAGGAAGTTGAACTCTTGAAATTGAATGTCAATGACTTGACTAAGAAAAATGAAAATTTGCATAATTCATTTTCTAGATTTTATATAGGACATTAAAAGTTTAATGACATGCTTGAAACATAAAGAGCTTTCTTTGACAAAGATGGACTAGGTTATAATGGTGGTAACAAAGAAACTCATTTAAAGAATTTCTTTATTAAGCTAAATGATTCATCCAGCATATGTGCACATTGTCATAAATTGGGTCATTCAATACCATATTGTCCCTTGAAAAAAATCACTTATAGAGGTAAGCTCATTAGGAGAGTGTGGATTCCAAAAGAAGTTAGCACATCTCAAGATGAGATTACTAAAATAAAGTGTATTTTAAAAGGCACAAAAATTGTTAGTACTAACATTCAATGACCCAAAAAAATTTAAGTACCCAAATTAAAAATTTAATTGTGTTTTTGTAGGTGGATGAACATTGCTACAAAGTCAATTCAAGCAAGAACAATTCATGATACCTTGATAGTGGATGTTCAAAACATATGACCGAGGATAAAACTCTTTTTAAGGACTTGAAAGTTAAAAGTGGAGGAGATGTTACATTTGGTGACAACTCTAAAGGCCAAATTGAAGGGATTGGCTCAATTGGTAACAATTCTTCTACTACTATTAAAAATTTTTACTTGTGAAAGGACTCAAGCATAACTTGCTTAGCATTAGTCAATTGTGTGATAAAGGATTTAAGGTTGTGTTTGAATCCATGTGCTGTCAAGTAATTGATATCAAAACTAACAAACTTATTTTTGTTGGACATCATCAAAGAAATATTTATGTAGTGCATCTAAATGATCTATCTTTTAAAAATGTTTATTTTATGGCTAAAAAAAAATGAGAGTTGGATTTGGCATAGAAGGCTTGGACATACAAGTATGTATGTAATTTCAAAACTTTCTCAAAAAGATTTGGTTGTTGGTTTGTCAAGGTTAAAATATGAAAATGACAAGGTTTGTGATGCATATGCTCAAGAAAAACATAGAAGAACTTTTTTCAAACCTAAGAATTGCATTTTAACTACTAGACATCTTTAACTACTTCATATTGATCTTTTTGACCCTACTAGAACAATGAGTCTTGGTGGAAAACAATATGAGTTTGTTATTATTGATGATTTTACTAGATTCACATGGGTTCTCCTTTTGCATTCAAAGAATGAGGCTTTGGAAAA